CTGCGATAGAGTGAAGCCGCCAAAGTCGAAGCGCCAAGTGGCGAGGGACTGTGTGTGTCTGTCATTTTACTTTTCATCCAATCCCAAGGTTTCCCTGCTTTGCTTTCTCCCACCTCCCTAATCTATCACCAGTGGATTTCATGTAACCCACTTGTGTCTGCTCTTTTGATTGTAATGTATTATATAAGGCGCAAAACTGCTTTTCTCGGGAGCATTATCTCAGTCTGTTGGGATTTTGCTTCCTGGCAGTTGGCAACAATTTGGCTCAAATAAACTTACGAAAATTCTCCATAGGTTTGAATGTTTCCTACATTGACACAGGAAAAGCACAGCAAATGGGCAAGGTTGCTTTACAGATTTAAATCACTGTCTCCTCCTAGTGTTTCTCAGACTTAGAGGTTCTCTCCATTCTGGTACAGAGAGGGAGACGCCCTTATAAGTGGAAATTCCCCTTGTAAATGTAAATGTCTCTTAAGAAAGGGTAACTTCTACAAGGTTTTCAGAGCTTTTCCTATGTTTACTTTTCCTTAAAAGTAACCAGATATCCTTATGCCAAGCAGGCATATCTTGGGGGAGGGGGGGCATATTCTGCTCCCCTTCAGTTCCGAAAAGAATTTAATTGCCTAAAATCATGGGCCGTTATTGCAGGAGTGGAGAAATAGCTGGGGCAGCTCTGTGAAGCCAGCTGGCTGGGACTTCCTGTGTCTGGCTGTAGATTATAATTCCTCCTGGTCAAGGTCAGGGTTCTGGCTTGATGGTTGTCCACGCCGGTTAGATTATCAGGTGGGCCAGGGTGATGTCCTCTGCCTGGTCGGGACGTTGGAGTCTGAGGAGCAGTGTACTGTACATGGGAGTATTTGCTAGGTAACGCCTAAAGTATTTGTTTTATAGGGCTGCTGGGAAAAAATAACCATAAACTGGATGGTTTAAAACTATAGAAATTTATTTCCCCGCAGTTCTGGAGGCAGAAGAGGAAATCAGGGCATTGGCAGGGCCGTGCCCCGCTGAAGGCTCTAGGGCAGAATCCATGCAGTGCCTCTTCCAGCTTCTTCAGGTGGCTGCTGGCACTCCTGAAGAGACAAGAACTCATCGGATGACGAAGCAAACAATTAGACCAGAGGCTTATTTATAAAGCCCCCCCCCCCTTTTTTTTTTAGTTTCGGAGGCAAGATTTGACCTGGCCATTCACGGGAGAAAGGACCGTTGACTGGTCAACAGGCAGTAAAGAGCAGGGCTGAGAACCCAGAGCACGAAGACCACAGGGCCGGGGAGGAGCCTGCAGGTTTGGTCCCAGGCACTCAGTGGTTCTGATGACCTTGGGCAGTTGGCTCGTGTATTCAGCACTTGCGTTTCTCCCTCTGAAAAACTCGGGTGAAGACATCAGCTCCCAGGAGTCACAGTGATGAAATGAGATGTAATGGAAATCCCCCCCCCCCCCCCCCCGTGCCTGGCCCATGGTGCTCCTGCAGATTGCCTGTCTCAAACGGGTGAAGGGGCAAGAGAGCTGGGGTGTTGTGGAAAGAACCAATCCAACCTTCCAAAGGAAGACTCGAGGGCAGTGAGTTGTTGCCAGGTGTGAACAGACTCGAGATTTGGAGGGGCTCTGTTTTGATCTAAGCCCTTCTTCGGGAAGACACGGGTCAGTCGACTCTTAAGAGCTTCCTCAGCTCCACCCTCACCCTCCTCCACATCCCAGACGTCACCGTTGTATTTAATGGCTCTGGACACATTCGCATTCCTAATCATTTTAGATTCGTTTTGTTTCAAAGCTGAAAGTGAAGGAGTTTGTGGTTGTGCTCTACATGTCTGATTTCATTTCCGTGACAAACTGACGCTGGAATCTGTTGTGGTTAATTTCCAATTATTCCCGTGCCCTACTTTCAATAGACAGCCGATGGAAGAACTCTTAACAACTATGGAGCATTTCTCTCTCATATCTTCTTCTATTGTCGCCTTTATCTTTTGTTTCCCTTGGGGTCATTGTGATGGAAGAAATGGACTACTGTATTTCTGAATAGTCTTTCATGTGGAGAAATACAGTTTATACCCTCTGAACATTCTATTGCTGACCCACTTTCTATATTCTTGACTGTGCAGGGTTTCTTGTTCATGCAAAGTCCCTTCTATGTGTATTTTAGTGCTCAAGGTATTAAATTTACATCTAAAATCAAACATTAAGAATCAATTTCTCGAACAGTTCTCCAGTTTGCTAAAACATGATTATAGACTTAAATTTCCTTTAACAACTTAAACGACAACAATGATTCTTTTGAACATTCTGAGCACTGTCAACAGCACACACAGATCCAGGTAATGATGAAGCATGTAACACAGTCCAGCCTGTTCTCAGACTTGTTTGTTTACTTTCCTCAGGTCTGTAACGCATATTTTGATAACTTCAAGTGTCAGAGCGATGCACGTTTTGATACTTTCCTAGGGCTACAATAATACAGTAGTACAATTACATAATTACAGAAACCCCATCAGAGCCAGAAAAATAGCCTGAGATGGCAGGACCTGGTGATCAGCCGATTGATGTTGGGTCATCTTTATGTTTGTCAAATCCAAGTAACTGGTCCTCTGGCTGGGCCCCTTTTTATGTTTGTCCTCTGTCACATCAGTAAGATTTGGAGCCATGCTGCTCCCCCAGAGTGTTTTATTCTCCAAATTTTGTTTGGCCAGTGTTTTCACAGACCAATGCCCTTATCACCCTGATGGTTGCCAGGTCTCTCTGCATCATTGGAATCGTACATATGCTTTATGACTTTCTGACTGCAGTTAGTGGGGCCATCTAAGGGTATCTTCTAGGATATGAGGGATGACGTCTGCAGTTAGTTTGTGTCTTAGAACATTTTAGCTAATTCATCATCTCGACTTGGTTCAGTTTTCTTTCCCTCTGGTTATGAAGGGGGCTGAGGACTTTCTGGTTATCGTTATTTTCTGCCTTTGCTAGGACTGGTATTACTAAGTTCCCTGTGTTCACCCTTCTCTGCTTTAACAAAGAAACACTTAGAAGAAGCAAAACACTTAACACTCTTCCATTTGTTAAAATTAAAATAAAAACCTGAACTGATACTCTTCTCCACTGGGCACGATAACACTTTGTTGTATACTCTACCTTTTCTTGTCTGGGTATCATTATGAAATCGTGCCTTTCACACCGGGGTAGTGTTACGACCTTTGATGCTCATGTTGTCCCATGTTGGCCAATAATTTGCCCTTTCAGCACTACCTCTGACCTCCTTAAATATCTTCTACCTTTCTGGCCACCCCATGTTGGGCCTTGCCCAGCCTTCCTTTTCCCTGCCCCGAGATATGTAATTGTTTACCCTCTGAGATTCCCTGGCTCCTTTCTTTGGAGAGTAGCTTGAAACCCAAGTCTGGGTGCTAGTTTCATGTAACAAGTACTTAAATGATGTTTACTATGCGCCAGGTATTGTTCTAAACTCTTTACAAGTGTTGTCTCATTCACTTATTTTAACATTCCTGTGACCTGGGTACTAGTCACAATTAATAGACGAGAAAGCTGAAGGCCACAAAAGATAAGTGATTGTCCAAAGACACACCACTGGTCGGTGCCCAGCCAGAATGCAGAAAATGGCTCTGAGCTCGTCTGTACGCTTGGTGGAGCTTGCGAATACTGTTGGTGCGGCAAGGAGTTCTGTCTAAGTCAGAGCTGAAAATTTTTTGTTTTAACATTGATAGGTTTAATTGATTTTTCTAAGAAATTAACATTTCATATACTAAAACATCATCAATTTTAGACACACTATTCTTTTATGAACTGGTAAGAAAGAAAAAAAACCCACAGCAAACGTAACTAGGATACAGTGCTCATCATACTGAGGCTCCTGGGTGACTCCTGAATAGACCACACACCTCTGTGACTTTGGAACGTCTTTCCTCTGTGACAGGGGGCAGGTTCCGCTGCCTTTACTTTCGTGGCTAGCCACCTGAGAGCAGTCCTTTTGCCCATGTATCTGGACAAAATGTGCAAAGCTTTGCCTTCTATTGAGTTTCTTCCCTTCTTAAGTCCCATGAGGCAGCCCATTAGAGAATCGCAGGAGAATACCACACAGCAAATACTTGCTTTTGTCAAAATCAGTTTTGTGCCCCACAACTCTGTGGGCCTTTGCGTGCACATGACCACTTTGCAAGCACACAACCGCTTTTTGTTTCAGGGCTGGTGCGGTGTAGCCTGTTGAAGGTGTTTGCAGTGGTGTCTCAGTTCCCCATGGGAAGTGCCGGCCGTGCACCTCAATCAGCTGAAGTGGCGGCAATATGAACAGTGGTAACCCATTCGAGCTTGTATTATGTTTTTATACCCTATTCTTATGGTATGAGGTTTCCTCAGCCACTAAGACTTTCTATTTCAGGCTGACTCCAAAAAGAAAGAAACCCTGTCAGAAATGTGTTGCCCAGTAACTCGGTTGAATGTGAGCATGTAAATATACACCAGATTTTGGAGTTGCCCGTCCACTTCTCATTTCTCTTCTAGAAATTGATGGCCCCTTGCAAATCTGTTTTTTAATTAGTTATTTATTTTTGTTACATATGTCCCTCCTTTCCCCCGCATTGACACCCTCCTTCCCAAGCCCCCCTTCATAGTATTGGTATCTGTGTCCATTGGTTGTGCATATGTGCATATAAGATTTTTGGTGTATCTCTTCCCACCCTCCTACCCCTTTTTCTGAGGTTTGTCAGTTCCCTACTTCCATGTCTTTGGGTCTGTTTTATTCGTCAGCTTATTTTGTTCATTATATTCCACAAATAAGTGAGATCATGTGATACTTGTCTTTCTCTGACTGGCTTAGTTTGCTCAGCATTATGCTATCCAGGTCCCGCCATGTCATCTCAAACGGTAAGAGAGCTCTCTTTCTAACAGCTGTGTAGTATTCCATTGTGTAAATGTACCACAGCTTTTTTATCCACTGATGGACTGCAAACCTGTCTTGAATAAATACTCATATATTACCTAGTTCCTAAGTACTATTTAAAAAATACGTATGGAACGCTTCATGAGCTTGTGTGTCCTTGCACAGGGGCCCTGCTAATCTTCGCCGGCTGGTTGCAGTTCTAGTAAAGGTGCTGGCACGGCGAGCGCCCCTCAGTACTGCTTTCAAAAGGCTTCAGTTCTCCTGGACTCCGCCCCCGCCCTCCCTCCCTGCTCCCTCCCTGCTCCCTGCTCCTTGCTCCTTGCTCCTTGCTCTCTGCTCCCTGCCCCCTGCCCCCTGCCCCCTGCCCCCTGCTCCCTGCCCCCTGCCCCCTGCCCCCTGCTCCCTGCTCCCTGCCCCCTGCCCCCTGCCCCCTGCCCCCTGCCCCCTGCCCCCTGCAATGACAGCCAGACACAGTGCTGCTTTCTTGGTGCTATACTTACCAAGTATGCAAATCTTAAGTAAAGTTGATTGTTACTGTTTTATTTTCCTTGCCATTGGAAGGGTTTGGGTGGGAAGATATTCTTGATCATCCTCCATGCCCCTGGCTCTCAAAGCCTGGACAGAATCCGTATCCTCGGTGAGTAAGGGACAGCAGGCAGGCGCTCAGGGCTAATTGCTACTTAACCTGAACCCATTTTATCCACCGTTGTCATTTTCCAGCCCTTCCTTCAAATGTCACAAAAGCACCAATAGGTGGAGGATGAGATTATATCAAGGGTGGAAACCTTAAAATAACATTTCTGGATATTTCTGGACCAAGCTTGTCTTCCTGTTTGTCTTCGCCAACTCGCCAAGCCCCGTGTTTTCCTTTTAGGGTATTTGCTGCTGACGACCTTCCACCTCTTCACCAGCTGTTTCTGTCTCCGTCGTCAGGCATTAAAGAGGCTTTCCGACCTGCTGGCTGATGGAGGCATCTCTTAGGAAACACACTGTAGCCCTGGCCGGTTTGGCTCAGCGGTTAGAGCGTCGGCCTGCGGTCCAGAGAGACCCGGGTTCGGTTCCCGCTAAAGGCGTGTACCTCGGTTGCAGTTTGTCCCCGGCCCTGGTTGGGTTGTGTGGGTGGCATCCACTTGATGTGTCCCTTCACATCGATGTTTCTCTCCCTCCCCTGACTCTATCTGAACAAAAAATGGAAAAATGTCCTCGAGTGAGGATAAAATAAAATAAAATAATAAAATAAAATAAAAAATAAAGAAACACATTGTACTAGTTACTTCAAATAGGGGGAACTGGGATTCTGGCGATGCCGGGACTGCAGTGGCCATAGCACCTGACTCTTGGCCAGTCTGTTTTCTAGTCTGTCCATGCCATTCAGGAGGGGTCGGCACCTGTCCTCAGAGTTGCCTTGCAAATATCCATGATGGTGAGCATGATGGTTGTGTCCTCTAAAACCCACCAATTTGCTTGCTGCGTAAGTACCAGTATTACCCATGAAAACGGTAGTCAGATATTTAGTGTAATTCAACTCATTCAGCCTGCTTGATGGGGAGATACTCCTCTGGCAGAGGAGATAAGCCTGTATGGTTATCTCTAGCCTGTGGCTGGTGTTTCACATTGTGAATAGGTCCTTCATTTGTAGATCACTGCTGGTCCTATATCCACTATCAGTCTGTCATTCTAAAGAATAAAAATAATTATTGTAGTCATGAGACCCCCAACAAGTATTGAGCCCTTCCCTATGTTCCACTGGGCTAAGGATTGTACATATATTATCTTAATTAATTCTCAAAGTAATTCTGTGATATCAGGGGTGTTACTATGTAGATGGGAAGTGATTCTTACAGGTCAAATGACTTGACCAAGGCCTGGGCTAACAAGGGGAAGTCAGGATGTTGATCCCGGCGGGCTGCCACCAGGGCGGGGCTGGGGGCACCCCATCCATTGACTTGGTCCCCAGTAGGCTGGGCCAGAGAGGGCTGGGGTGTGCCCTGGGGTGTGCACTGTCTGTGAGACATTCTCATAAATAGTGCCAGAGCATTTCTGTTGTGTACATTTTTAAAAATCCTAAACATTTAAAAAAGCATTTTACACTTGGTTATTCAGCCCTCGGAATTGGTTTGAGGGGAACCCTCTAAAGTAAACAAACCATGGTACACTTACATTATTTCCTACTTGTTTTCTGTTGTATTATCCTATTTTATTCTAATCTTAGATGCTTGTGTCAGAATTAGTAGCTTATGGAATTTCCCCTCCTCGCCTTCCTTAGGAACCAAACCCTCCTTACACTTGCCCCTCTGGCTTCAAGGGTGAATGAAATTCAAGAGCCTCAGGGATGCCTGGGACAGAGGCCACCTTCCTCAGAGCCACCTCAGGGACTTGCTCCCACTGCCCCTTGCAGCATGTTAATGCAGCCGTCCCCCTTACCCGTGACCCCCAGTGGATGCCTGAGACCATGGATAGAACCGAACCCTGTATACACTATTTTTTTTCCTATACATGCATACCTAGGATAAAGTTTAATTTGTAAATTAGGGACCATAAGAGATTAACACCAATAACTAATAAAAGAGACAAGTATAACATACTGTAATAAAAGCTGTGTGAATGTGGTCACTCCTTTCAGGGGCCCTTGCTGAAGTCTTCATATAGGCTCAGTGCTTTCTGGGGCAACACGTCGCCATCAATCAGAGCAGGTTTTCTGTTCATGCCTTCCACCCACAAATGTAATGCCTTTTCCATCTTACCAGCACTTATGCACTGTGTCCGTAACTTTTGTGGCTTAAGGTGTGACCCCCAAACTAGCCCTGATTTCTTTTCCTTTTTCACAATTTCATGGAGAGAAGATTCATTCTTACCATAGATCTGAGCAACCTCAGCATATAATTTCTTTTCTTACTTTATGAAGCTGAGAACGTTCACTTTTTCACTTAAAGGAAGCACATTACGGCTTCTCTTTGGCATATCCAGATTGCCAGCGTCACTACTCTTGTGCTTTGGGACCACTATTAAGTAAAGTAAAGGTGACTTCAGTATAAGCAGGGTGATACCAAGACAATGACTTGGATAGCCCAGAGGACTACTAAGTGACTAGTGGGCGGGGAGCGTCTGCAGTGTGGTTGCGCTGGACAAAGAGATAAGTCACGTCCCGGGCAGGGTGGAGCTGGACAGGAGGGGGGGATTTTATCACGCCACTCAGATGGTGGGCAGTTTTAAACCTATGGATTGTTTATTTCTGGAGTTTTCCATTTAATATTTTTGGACCGCAGTGGACCTTGGGGAACTGAAATCACATAGCAGAATTGCAGATAAGGGGGGCTGCTGAAGTCATTAATTGATAATAGGTATATCTAGGATTTCCTTTGCCTGTAAGGAGTGTTATGATGTGTCTGCTTGGAGAACAGCTCCGCCCCTTTCATTCAACTCGGTGGCCTTAGGTCAGGGTGGATGTACTGCTACGGCTGCACTTCATCGAGGCAACTTCTAAAACGTAACTAATTTCAGAGCAAGTGCCACTGGCAGTTCCCATCAGCACAAGAAACGTAGTTTTAGCAAAAAGGCCTCTGTTGTCCAGGGCACACACTGTTGTGGTTTCTCTTTGGGTTGCTTCAGATCGTATTGTGAGTGACAAACTTTTTATGAAACGAGACAGCGCGTTTCAATATTAGTAATCCTCTGTCTTTTCCTCCGATTCAAGTACTTTAAAAATAGAAATATGAGAACCAGTTGGATTGGGGTGCTGATAATGGTCATTCTTTCATTAGAACTGTACACCCACCTCCTTAGTGTTCTGGAAGGGGGCTTTGGAGACTCGGCCGTGGTCCTGGGGACTCAGGTTATCACTGAAGAAGGTGCTCATTGTGCAGCCGAGAGCCGAGCCCTCCACTGCAGACACAGGCCCGCGGGACTGCATCTCTCTGCTCTGTTCTGAGCAAACTCCCTGTGACGGACATGGATCGGGTTGTAGGGACAGAGGGGTGGGTGACGGACTTTTCGTAGCCTCCAAGCTCCGTGTTCTGCAGGTGTGGGATTTTTCACTAACCTGAGAAAACCAGGGAGCGTGTGTGGGGGAGAAAAAATAATTTTCCTCCCACTTTTCTAAGTTTTTCTGGCTGGACTAATAAATTAACACGAGTCAGATTAACAGGAGGCATGTCCCAATTTATTACAGGGGTTCCATAAGTGGTAACCAAACCCTCAGTATGGGGACCTGGGAGAGATAACACATACCAATAGTAAGATTTTGTTCCTTAATTTAGAAGTCCTGGGGGGTTGTGGTTTGGGACTGGAAAGAGCAAGGAGCCGATTCACCTGGAGACAGAAAAGCAAATGTTTGGTATAATAGTGTTTGCTGGGCCGTCTTTAACCTAGGACTCAGAGAGGACTATGATTAAAGGGGCCTTGTTGGCTTCCTCCGTATCACACCTAATTCATAATAAACTGTAGTTATCTTTGATGATAGCTCTCTTCCTGGAGCGAGCCCTCTGACTTTTTTTAGGCAAGTAGGGGAAAGGTCATAAGTTTTTCCCGAGTCTTTTCATTTCTTTTTTTTTTTTTGCAATTTTTATTAATTTATTTTTGTTACAGATGTTTCTCCTTTTTTCCCCCTAGACCCCTCCACCCAATCCTGCCTCCCCCCCAACCCCATTGTCTATGTCATTGGTTACGCATACGTGCATATAAGTTCTTTGGTTTATCTCATCCCTCTCCCTCACCCCCCTCCTCTGAGGTTTGTCACTCTACTAGCTTAAAATAATCAATATCCCAAAGAGGCACATTTTGGGGTGGCCATCTCTGCTCCTCACATGTCTGGGTTTAGGCGGTGGCTAGGGGGAAAGGCTGGGGAGTTTGCTGGAGAGGATGAGCTCTGAGAAGTGACTTGGAAATGATAGGCCGGCCTCTGGAGACGAAGCGTGCGGGAGCCCCGCGAAGGCTGTCCTCCACCTCTGGAAATGGAGTGTGTGAAGGGAGTGTGGCATGTGAGCAGTCACGCTTGGAAGCCAGAGGCCAGAGGTCATGTCCTACCTGCACCACCTTCTCGGGCCCCACTTCCCTCTTTGTAAAATCAAAACCTGATGTGAGATGAGATGACGTGAGGACAGTGACCAGCCACAGAGAATATGCTCAGAAGACATTAGCTCCTTTCCCCCACGCCCATGCTCTCCCAGGCATCTGTCCTGTCTTCCCAGATGAGGATGTATCCGCACGCAGACAAATGAAATGGCTCGCC